CTGTAGCTGGCATGGCCGGTGTGACAAGACATGCATAACGTTGGCCTCTGTGGTACGCTAGCCCTTAGCTAGCCCTTATCGATTGCTTCATGTGCAGAGGATGCCAGCTCGGTTCTGCACGGTCCTCGGGGTTTGCTGCGGAGCAGCCATTCCTTGACAACTTGGACATCTCCGGAAGTCTAAAGCGACTTCGCAGTACTGGTATAGATCTGGCATCTTGCATAGAAATTCGATGAAAATCGAAGGTGCCAGAATATCTGTGGTCCAAGACGGATAGCGCTGTAATGCCTGGAACAGTCCTTTGAACAATCGGTTCAAAGTCTGCAGGATTACGCGACACTGGCCAGCTGTGGCTAGCACTGGCAGAGCCTTTGCATGGCATCACAAGTTGACATGATCGCAACATGTGTTAAACAGATTAAAACCGAATGTCCTGTACAGTGCAGACAGAGGCCGAAGAGTTCGTGCGTGAGATGTTACCTGCCGTGACGGTGCTGCCATTTCCGCAGTCCGTGATGTTATGATGACACAACACCGCAGCGCAGGCACGACAATCCGTTTGGTCGCAACTAGCTCTTGGTTTGGCCAGCGTATCCTTAGAGCACGACAAGTACGAAATCCAGCGTATCCGAGCATACAAGACAGTGGTTGGCAACACTCTACTCTAAATTAGCCATCATGCTCCGGGCTTCCCAGATGATGGCGGCAGACGGGAACGAAACGCGTTACACAACCATCCCAGCGGGCACCGTCGCTGACAGGGAATGGCAGAAAAGCAGTGGACTCACCAAGCGTTGTTTCAATGTTCCTGAGGTTCAGGGCATCCCTGTCCCGAAGAAAGTCCCGTGCATTCGCTTGGATAGCCTGCTTTTCACAGTGCTCTCAATTGGACTGATAGTTGTGCCCTGCATGCAAGTACACAGCCTCCGCCAACATCGCTTCATTCCTGCCTCGGATATACAAATAGAAGTTGAAAATTGTCACGTGATCATGGAAGACACCGGGACGGGCAGTGGTGAAGACACGGCCGGACTACGGATGCAGTGGTGGCCTTTCATGGGAAGTACAGAAGTCTCCGGTGATGGCAGCATCCGCGTAAAGGCAGTCATGCAGGATTTTGCTTCTTCCTGGTTTCGCTGTGAAGCGCGTGTCTTCGCACCAGTTTCGGAGAGACGGACGAACTCCTCACAGCTTCGTGCATTGCGCGTCAAGACGCGCTCCGGAGAATTCTTCACAAACGTGCACTTGCAGTCTGGAAGACTTCAGGGACCGCTCCATGTTCAAGCTGGCGACCTTGCCGTTGTCAATGTTGGGACCATTCACTGTGACGGGGTGGTCACAATCCTTTGCAAGGACGAAAGAATCGTCAACCTCAAACTTGGGGCACGGGGCAGTTCTGCTAGCAAATGGGTGGTCCAGAGCCAAAGTTCCCCGGTTTTCGTGAAATCATCATCCGCCGTTCGAGTAGAGATGGGATCCGGCCGCGCCTATTCCTCCCTGAAAGCAGAAGAGGTGAAGGAGGACGGAGATGGATGGATTTTATGTGCCAAGGAGGAAAGGGAGCCTGAGAGAAATGCGAGCAATGCTGATCAAAACCTCACGAGCCGACGGTTGCGGCTCAAAAGCCCTGGGCCGCAAACTTTTGTGAATACCGAAGTGCTATCTTGCCATGCTGAAGAGAGCATTTCCTTTAGCTCTGAGGGTGATGCGGGCTTCACATTCGCAGTCCATGCAAAAAGTGCCAAGAGCGCCGCTGGAAAGATGAGGTCGGGCTAACTTCATCGGACAACCTGTCAATGGTCAAAGTTCAGCAGTTCATCAAAGCTGCGAAGAGAAAACCCTGGATAGCTACCATCCGGGTAGCTGGCACGGACAAGATGTGGACCTTGACCAGCGCCCCTGCTTATGTGTATATCGACCCCACTTGGTTTACTGTCTTCTCTTTCGGTGGCTTGGCGCCTCAAGTTGTCTCGCACATGTTACAACTTGAGGGGGATCTAGACAAGCGCGTCAAATCCATGCCAGAAGACAGCAGCGAGACAGATGCCTTCGTATCACACGCAAACCATTTGGATGATGATTGCCCAAGCTGGAAGTCAGCGGCAATGGTTGCGCAAAAGCTTAACAGCATGCTGCGTGAGCATGACACACCTATCTACTTTAAGCAGCCCAACAATTGCCGAAGCGGTCTGGTTTTCCAACAATCAAAGAAAGGCATTATTGTCAACTGGTTTCAGCCTAGTCTGCTGTTGCATTTGTTGGCTGCACTCGCATTCAACCTGGTCTGTGCATGCATTTTGGCAGCTTTGGCGTTGAAAGGCATATGCAGCTTGGTTTTGCCTTTCATTTGGCGGAAAGTTGCCGAGCGCTCTGCTGAGATTCATGCTTCACAGCGTTTGCACAATTCGGGCAATGTGGATGAGTCGGACATAAAAGGGGACTTCCTGCAATACCCGGAGCGTGGGATCAACCTGTCCTGGCACCGCCCAGCTGAAGCCTTTCAAGCAAGCTTCTTCCGGATCAGCTGCTTTTGCACAGATTCGATGGGCCGAGTTGCTATAGATGTGCCAAGTTCAGATTTGATGCAGCTTGGGCCTGGCAGGTGCCAATACTTCTTGACCCTGGCCCAGGCAGGTCTCGAACATGTGCTGGAAGATGTTCTGGTGCAGGTCACGGCTATGTCGGATGCTAAAGCCCTGTACCGCACATCGTGGTCGGCGCCAGTTCGTGTGCATCCACTCCGGGGCGCGGCGCACATACCCTGGGATGTGCTGAGTATTTTGCAGGGTCCCAACCAAACTCATGCCAGCTTGCCTGCATTTCTCCGAACGATGTGTTCAAGGTTCACTCCGCCAGGCTTGACCCTGGTTCTGGACAAGCTGCACCTTGCGGGCGATAAGGAAGACTTTTCAGAGCCACTGTATCTTGAGCTGTTTCTCGGAGAGCAAAAGGAGACAGCGCGCATGGCAACTGCCCGCGGTGAAGAGGAGTCACACGTCTCGACGCGCCTCATTCGGACAGAGGAGATAAACAAATCATCAGCAGCCAAAGGATGGAGCGGTAGCGATTATTTCGGCATTGACATTCAGCCTGAAGCTGAGCCATGGCGGCTCACGCCACCTTTCCGAGATGGCTTGCGCTTTGGAGCGGTGCTTCGTGTCCGCGTGCTGTCAGCACAGTCTCATAGTCTCATTGCATCTGGCCACGTTGATTGGAATGAGCTGCTGGACACATACGCAGACAGTCACCAGCTTGGGTTCTCGAAACAGGTTGATCTCGTTGATGTGGATGGTGACTTCATTGGAGCCTTGTGCATGCGACCGGCGTTCAACAGTGAGACCTTGGATGCCATGGGGTTGGCAGCCAAAGCCTCAAAGGAGAACTGGTTCCAAGATGATGTACCCGGTGACATTTATTTGCAGGGCGTGGACCGATTTGTGAACTGGACATCTGACCGCGCGGAAGATGATGATGCGGAGCAGTGGATGTGCAATTTTTGGCTTGAGCAGGCGGGCACGTCAAGCTTGCAGCTGGTTGCCCATGACCTGCGGTTTGTGTCTGAGACTTTCCCTTGGGTCGTAGATGCTGACTTCAATCAGAGCTCTGTAGTTTGCTGCCGAATCCTCATGGAAAAGGTCGTGGACCCACAAAAGGAAGAGCCGATGCAGCCCAAGAAAGAGGCAGTACTATGCACTTCAAATTGGTTTGTTGCAGTTGAAACCTTGCATTTGGGCGAACTTGAGCAAGCATACGCGGCCTTTTGTCGCATGAATCATATTGAGATGGCAGAAATAAAGCCTTTGATGTTGGCAAGTTGTGGCATCGACACCAGACAAGTAAGTGTTCGCGGTTGCAGCGATTTGCGCCGCCCACTTCCATTTGAGGACATGCCCTCAGGCATTTTGAGATGTGCTGGAGGATTGATACTCACCGGGATTTTGCACAGCATACTGGATTCTGATGGAGAAGAAATTGGTCGATGCCGAGTCCGCTCCAACAACGTCACTGCAGTTGATGGCCTTCGCTTGCGGAAATCCAACATGGTTTGGCGCCCGAAAGAGGTGCTCGGTGAGCAGCTGGGTATGACTTTTCACGGCAGCCATCTTCCAGCCGCCTCAACTCTCCTTACCCTGGCTGCGGCATGTGGCACCCTGGCATTGCACGTGTGGCAAGCTGCGTGCTTCCTGCTCATGCCAATGCTAGCCGCGGCGTTCCTCAAAATTTATGCATACTTCAGCACGCGAGCCGCAGCATCAGATCCACTTGCCAGTTCCTTATTGCTTGAACAGTCATTGAGCTCTAACTTTGGAGTGCTGAGCTTTGTGTACGCTCTTCTGGTGGTGACATGCCTGGTTGTGGCGACATGAAGACTTCGGAACGTGCACACCGAAGTCGGATCCAGCGGTAGTTTCCGGCCATTCCCGGCCCAAGGTTGCCTTGGTGAGTGACTGCTGG